TTAAGATCTGTAATGGTGCTCTTGTGATTTTTACACTTTTCACTCAGGGTTAACTGTTCAGCTATTAATTTATCTGACTGTGACTGAAGATCCTGAATCTTTGCCTCTGTGACTTTTGTACTTCTGCATTTTTAGAATGCAATTCTTTACATTTAGCATCTATCCTTGAAAATAGTAGCCGCATACAACTTATGAAGTTTAAGGTCACAATTATTTCACCATGTTTTGATTTCTTTTGATGTTTGCCAATCATGTTCCACCATTTGAACATTTCATCATCTGAACATTTAGTATCAATATATTCTTTCTTGAGTTTGCGCAAGGTATGCTCAACTATTTTGCTCCATAAAGCAAACAATATGTCACTGTTGTTAGAGATTTTCCTTTCCATCCCTGAGGAGATAATCTGAATGTTGTCATATTGTACAGGACTATGGACACTATTTACAACCTTCTAATTTCTGTTTCATGCAAATGGAGATTGTAAACAACCTTACCCACTCCGTGGTCAGAGGGCCAGCTTTAATCCATTCACAAGATCTACTGTGAAAATATGTCCTCACTCTGATGACCGATCAAAGTAAATTTCAGAAAACTCACTGCAAGGGATCCCAGGTTTCGGCACCAAGCTCTAAGGGTGGTGTCCCTACAGCGGTTCAGGCTGTAGGATTGCCGAAGGACTAAATAAATTTTAACAGCAGGATGGTATAAAATATTTCTTGTCTATTACCACCCACTGCTTGAATGAATGATGCATTTATATAGCGCTTTATTTTGTATTGCTGTACACCCAAAGTGCTTTACAATCATGAGGGGGTCTCTCCTCATCCACCACCAGTGTCCAGCATCCACCTGGATGATGCGACGGCAGCCACAGTACAACGGCGCCAGTGCGCTCACCACACACCAGCTACAGGTGGAGAGGAGAGAGAGTCATTGAGCCAATCAAGTGGATGGGAATACTAGGAGGCCATGATGGTCAGAGGCCAGTGGCGGCAATTTGGCCATGACACCGGGGTTACACCCCTATTCTTTACGAGAAGTGCCATGGGATTTTTAATGACCACAGAGAGTCAGAACCTCAGTTTAACGTCTCATCTGAAAGACTGCTTTTTGACAGTATAGTGTCCCCATCACTACACTGGGGCATTAGGACCCACGCAGACCACACTAACACCTCTTCCAGCAGCAACCTAGTTTTCCCAGGAGGTCTCCCATACAGGTACTGACGAGGCTCAACCCTGCTTAGCTTCAGTGGGCAACCAGTCTCCTGTTTCCTGAGAGAGAGAGACAGAGGTGGAAATAGAGAGAGAGGGAGGGAGAAAAAGAGGGAAAGAGGGCAGCGCCCCAAGAAGAGAGCGTCAGCTCAGGAAAGAGATCGCCGGCAAAGAAAAGAGACAGAGCAACAGTTACAATCTTCTTTTATCCCTTCCTTGACCATGTTACTAAAACCCAAATGTGAGACATTCAAACTGACCAATCAGCAGATTACAGCTTCACCCACTGTACTAAAGGTGTGACAATTAGTAGACCCTCGATGTATACACATTTTGACCTACAGGCCTTGATCACTATCAGTACATCTGTTTCTTCAGGACTTCCAAATGACCCTTTTATTACAGAGGATAGGTTTGGGACAGGAAAGCAAAAGTCTTTGATCATTTTCAACCCTAAACGTTCATTCACTCAACATGACTGTTGCCAACCTTTGATGGGAGTAGATGTAATGAATGAGAAATATAATGTTATAATCAACACATTGTGGATGTGTCACTTGTCTTAAAGAAAATAACATTTAGCATAATTTCTGTAGTGCCCCTGGGCACTTGTCCAATTACCTATATTATTAATTTATTCCTGGAGTCAACATAGTTGACTTCTCTGCTGAAGATTAAGAGATCAAATAATTAAAACACAATTACAAGGTAAGAAGAATAAAATGTTGCAGAAAAAACAGAAACCTAGTGGATGTGCATAAACTCGTATAGGGTGTTTACACAACACTGTTTTCAACTAAAACTGGAAATGTTTTGTTTTGGCCATTAATTTATGAAATGATGACAATTTGGGGGTCTGAAAATGCAAACGTTTGAAAACCGGTTATAACTGCATTAAGCAAAGTTTAGTTCAATCTTCAGGGTTAATATTACAGAAATTGAAACATGCCCCCCTGCCCCTTCTCTCTCACACATTATGCTGTCATGATGTGGACACATACAAAGTGGTTTTGAATTTGTCACTCAACTTTATCGAACATAACATAAAGTATACCATCAGATTTAACTTTTCAAAATCAGTTTTATAGTTCACCATTTAAGCAAGGAAATGCTTAAACTTTTCTGTTGTCTATTTATTTATTTTTTTAGGAAGACACCCCTATCCAAGGAGAAGACAAAGATGGCCCTTCCCAACCACCAGTTTAGAGCGAAGAAAAAATATGCTGAAAGATCGTCGCTGAAAGCTCTACTTAATTTAAGAAAAAGAAAACCACCCAAGGATTTAAAAGATTATGTAGTATAATGTAAAGTGTAGTAATAAATCAGTTTTTATTTTTAAGTTTCAATTTTTTGGGGGATGGTATACCATTTACTTTTAGACAATAAGTCACTTCATTTGAGTTATTGCGCCTTAAACTTTTTTGTTTGCTTTTGAAAGGTGTGGATTAACAAAATATTTCATAGCCTTCTGACAAGAAGATATGAATACATCTTTGTTTGCTTTGTTTTGTGTGCATTCATGCAAACTCAGGGCTTTAGAGAAATTCAAAGGAAAGAAATGTAAGAATACAGCCTGCTGTTCCCTAACAGTGATCCCAGTTTGTGCCTGTTCATGCATTCATGTAGACATTCATGCCATTTGTTGTTTTGCTGTGCCATTTGTTGTTTTGCTGTCTTGTTGTTGTGTTAATGCCTAAGTGTCTTTTCTAAATATTCATATTCACGGTTGTTCAACATTCTCACTTAACAGAATCTAAAAAGGTCCCTTTTTTTAAAGATACACACTATAATTTTATTTGGCATTTATAAATGATGACATATACTGTTGAACATTGAAACTGGCAATTGATCATTTATTTGTGCTGTATCAAACACCTGTCTAAGAGACTTTCATGGAAAGAACATCACCAATAGTAGATTCATAGGGTATCTTAAAAAAAGGACCTTGTTAGATGTCTGTTAAGTGAGAATGTTTGGTTGAACAAGTTCACACTTGTTGTAATAAAATAAGATGATCAGTGCTTCATAAGAGCAAGTAGAGCAGTTTTTCAAACAGATTCTCTCTGAAATGAATGTGATCTGTTTAATAAACATTAATTCTCTGTCAGTGGGCCTGTTGTCAGTGTTATAATCTTGCACAAGTGTTTCTTGTAATTTCAGAATTGTTAATTTATTGTCATACAAATATTTTGCATCTGTTTCATTTGAACTGCTAGAGAACAATCAAGTTGTTACATATTCTGTGTGTTCTCCCTGCTCGTATTCCCCTTGTGCCTTTGTGTTATTAAAGGAATTGATGGAAGGGCACCACCAGGAATGGAGCCTGCGGCTTAATTTGACTCAACATGGGAAACCTCACCCGGCCCGGACACGGAAAGGATTGACGGATTGATAGCTCTCTTTCGATTCTGTGGGTGGTGGTGGATGGCAGTTCTTAGATGGTGGAGCGATTTGTCTGGATCATTCCGATAACGAACGAGACTCCAGCTTGCTAAATAGTTATGTGGCCCCGTGCGGTCGGCGTTCAACTTCTTAGAGGGACAAGTGGCATTCAGCCAAGCAAGATGGAGCAATAACAGGTCTGTGATGCCCTTAGATGTCCGGGGCTGCACGCGCGCCACAATGGGCGGAGGACCCGGAGGACAGCAGCGCAACCGAATCTTCCTCTCCAGAAAGCTCTGGCTCACCCTCCGATGCAGTGATCGACATTCAGTCGTCAGGAGGAGCTCCAAAGGATACTGCTGGTACGCTCCTTGTAGAGGGCCCAGCACGTTCCGTTGGCAGCTCAACTGGTTGCGGAGGGCAAGAGGAGCGATGGTCCCCCGAGGATTACCCGTGCTACTGCCTGAAATAGTAGCACGGGTAAGTCAGTCAGTGCTACCGCCTGACTGCCGCCATGACGAGAGTTATATCTAGCCCGAGGCAACGGAGCTCCGCCCCTTTGAGGAAACAGAGCTTGGCCCTCAACTCCGTGATGATCATCTTCCCGCAATGAGAACATGACTCATCCACAAACGCCACCTCAGCGTGTTTAATCCCCAGACACGTGAGGCAGCGATCGTGACCATCACCCAGCGCCAGGTAACGACCGCATCCAGAAATGGTGGTACGTTGTCTATAGCAAGACCCACATTGTCTTTACAAAGACATAACGTCGAGTTTGCCACGCAACGTCGTCTTTAAAAAGACGCACCCGTGAATGCTCTTTTAGGGAAAAAGCTCTTTTAGCGTGTTGAAGTGCACATGGGAGATGGCCGCCTGCAACACAAACAGGGGGTAGTGCAGCCTGATGTGTGCAACCCACTCGACACGGGAAAACCACCACCACTGACACGCCGTACCACCAACACTAAGAGCTCTCAAAGAGCGCGCTGAACTCGTTCAGTCTTCTTCTCTCAGTAGAGTAGTCAGGAGCAGAACGATGTGATCGCTCGGCTCAGAAGCGAAAAGCTGAAGATGCGCTGCACCTGCTGCCTACTTATACTCACGCTGTGATCAGCGGCAGCTGGATGCAATAATCGCATGCCAATGTGCATTGGCTCGTTTAGTTTATACTCGAAGTAGATTGGTCTCTCTAAGCGAGATCCCAATTCGTCGAGAGTGACCGACTGAAAGGGAACCATTTGTCTAGGCACATTTAATTCTAAGCTTTAAAATGATACAAATTATTTAATTATAGCCTTAGAATTGGCTGAAGGAAAAATAAATTGCTACTGTCAGATTTTCATTGTTTTGAAGGCCATGCACAAGCTCTGAAAATACCTGAATTGGACCTCTGATTTCTCCATTTCCAAAAAAGATACAACTATGTCACTAGGCACATTTTAAAGGAGAGATTATAAGCTTTAGATTGATATACATTACTTTATTGTGGCCTAAAAATTGCCTGAATGAAAAATAATTTACTACTGTCAGATTTTCATTGTTTTGAAGGCCTCGCACAAGCTCTGTAAATACCTGAATTTAAAGGAGAGAATCTAAGCTTCATATTAATATAAATTAGTTTATTGTGGCCTAAAAATTGTGTGAATGCCTCAGAGGCTTGTTATGACTTTTAGTCAAGTTTGATCGTCTTCTCGGCGCTCTGCCAGGGCCAGCGAGGAGCCCCGGTGGGGCCGATCCGAGAACCTCGATCGGTAATAGCGACGGGCGGTGTGTACAAAGGGCAGGGACTTAATCAACGCGAGCTTATGACCCGCGCTTACAGGGAATTCCTCGTTGATGGGAAATTGTTTCAATCCCCATTCCCGATCACGAGCGGGGTTCAGCGGGTTACCCGCGCCTCTCAGCGCAGAGTAGACACGCTGATCCGCCCATTTTGGCGCGTGTGCAGCCCCGGACATCTAAGGGCATCACAGACCTGTTATTGCTCCATCTTGCTTGGCTGAATGCCACTTGTCCCTCTAAGAAGTTGAACGCCGACCGCACGGGGCCACGTAACTATTTAGCAAGCTGGAGTCTCGTTCGTTATCGGAATGATCCAGACAAATCGCTCCACCAACTAAGAACGGCCATGCACCACCACCCACAGAATCGAAAGAGAGCTATCAATCCGTCAATCCTTTCCGTGTCCGGGCCGGGTGAGGTTTCCCATGTTGAGTCAAATTAAGCCGCAGGCTCCACTCCTGGTGGTGCCCTTCCGTCAATTCCTTTAAGTTTCAGCTTTGCAACCATACTCCCCCGGCTGGGCTATAATGACTCTGCGCTGAAGGACTTATTAAATTATGCCCTTGATGAGCTCATTAGCCCCTGGAGCATGCTAGGATGCAATCACGTATCCTTTGAGGGGTTTGTGGAGTTCCTGGCACGTTCTTCAACTAAGGGGGCTGCAGCGCCTCCCGTGATGGCTGACAAGGCTGTAGCGCCCCCGAAGGTGGCCGACGAAGCTGCCCGCTCCCGGTGGTGGCCGAAGAGGTTTGTAGCGCCCCCGGAGGTGGCAGATGAAGCTGCAGTGCCACACTCTCGGAAACGGAGGAGGGGGAAGAGGAAGAATGGGTCCGCCTCGCCACCCCTAGAGGTGGCCAAAGAGGCTGCAGCGCCCCTGAAGGTGGCTGACAAATCTGCAGCGCCCCCAGAGGCGGCCAATGAAGCTGCAGTGCTCCCGGTGGTGGCCGAAGAGGTTGCAGCGCCCCCGGAGGTGGCAAATGAAGCTGCAGTGCCACCTTCTCGGAAACGGAGGAGGAGGAAGAAGGCTTCTTCCGTCCTTCAAGGCCGGGAGGCCTCCCTAGAGCATGGTGTCCTGCCGGCGCCGCCCAGGCTCCTTGCTCTGCCGGCTCCGCCCAAGTTCCTTGCCCTTCCGGCTCCGCCCAAGCTCAAGCTTCACGCCCTGTCGGCTCCGCCCAAGCTCAAGCTTCACGCCCTGTCTGCTCCGCCCAAGCTCAAGTTTCACGCCCTGCCGGCTCCGCCCAAGCTCACGCTTCACGCCCTGCCGGCTCCGCCCAAGCTCAAGCTTCACGCTCTGTCGTCTCCACCCAAGCTCAAGCTTCATGCCCTGTCGGCTCCACATAGGCTCCGCTCTCTGTCAGCTCTACCCCAGCTGCTTGCCTTGCCGGCTCCCTCCTTGAGGCAGGCTCCGCTCTTGCTGCCTGCCAGGCTGCCGGCCCCACCCTGGCCTCCTGCCCTGCCGGCCCCGCCCTGGCACCCGGGGTTACCTCTATCCCCAGGACCTCTTCCACTACACGGGCCTGGCCCACCATCCCTCCCCCTGATCCACCTCCGTTCCGCCTCCCTCCGGGATTGCTCTTGGTGGAGCATCTGGAATCCGCACCTTAAGGGGGGGGGGGTCCTGTCACAGTCTTCAGCGGGTGTGCCCAGGAGGGCCACCAGATGACTGTGTTCTGGGAGCACATGGCTTGTGTTGTGTTCGTCTGTTGCCATGTGCTCTCTCCTGTCGATTGTCTTGCCCCTCCCATCTTGTTACCTCGTTATTAAGTTGCTCCCCCGTGTCTCCCTCGTTAGCCTCCTCGTTTGGTTCCTATTTATTCTCCTGGTGTCTGTCATCCTGTGCTGATCCGTCATTTCTCATTGTGTGTGTTTCGTGTCTGCATGTGGTGCAGCTTTAGGCCTGCCTGTCTGTTTTTCCCCCTCGGGGTGGTTTGAGTTTGTTTTTGTTTCATTTTTATTATTAAAATAAATAACCATTTCTCCTGCAATTGAGTCCTCGCTTCATCTACCCGCACGCACCGTGACACACTGTGTGTTTTATTTTTTATTTCAGAATTGTTTAGCACACACACATTGTAATGCTGTACACAGAATCATATTATTAAATACTATTTGAATATTAATTGCTTTTATTTAAATTCAAATTGTTTTTATTTAAATATGTGACCAAGGCACCACCTAACCATATTTTTACTTTTTTATTTAGTTTTTTATTTTATTTAGTTATTTTTAGATTTTTTTTATAGATTGTGTGTGTGTGTGTGTTGTATTAGATTTGTTGAGAAAAAAACATTTCACACCTTATATAGCACATAAGTTTCATTTATTGTTATTTACATTTTTATGTCATTTTTATCAATTTACTAGCTGTGTGTGTGTGTGTGTTATATTAAATGGTTGTTGAAAACATTTTGTTTGCACCTTAACTGATTGAAGTTGACCATTCTACTCATTCAACTCCCAGAGCCTGCCTCCTCTGCCTTCCCAGGTGACTTCGCAGGGCAGACCAAGGTTGATGTCGAGCTGCTGCTCACAGAGGTAAGCTTGCAGCCTATGGATGTAGGAGCTTCCAACGATCCAGACACGCGGCACACGATGCTCTGTCATCTCTCCAGAAAGAGTGTGGGGCTGTCTTTGCCTCCAGTATTTATGCTGCAGTTGGCCGTGTGGGCGTCTGCTGCCAGAGCCCACCAATGCTGTGCTAGATGTGTGTAGCCACTCCCCTTTTCCCCACCACAGGCCATTCGCAGGAAATACAGAGAGAAAAAGTTCACCTGTCACATAACATTTTGGCTTAATTTTTCAGTATAGTAAGCAGTTTGAAACATTATGAGGTCAACATACTCTGTGAGTATATGTCAGCATATATGTATAGATTTATGTACAGACCTATCACACAACTATTTTAGAAGGCATGCCAAAGAAAAACTTGACTCCCATAAAGCTAAGAAAAAAAACATTCTTCAAAATTATTATTTTTAAATAATTATTTACATAGAAGTACGCATTAGGATATGGATTACTTTAAAACCACACCACTGAATTCAGGACTCCATCTGAAAACCAACTGCATGAAAGTGAGTTTCTTAAAAATTGTGTGTGTGACAAAACTGACAGAAACATCACAATAGGCCTGTTTAAGGAAGTGATGGGAAAAAAGAATGACACAGTGAAACAGATTCAACATTTTTTATCTTAAAATGTAAGACATCAAATATTAATCTGATGCCAAGACAAAGTTTAGGACCCAAGAGAAGTTTTTTGAAAAACAACTGTAAGGCTTTCAGACCAAACATGCCTCTTCAACCTGACCTGACCCAGGTCAACAACCAATCAGGGCACAGCATCCAACAGCACAACCCCCAGGTGCTAATGGCTCACTGTGCTTTGGTCATGGGAGAAAAATTATATATTTATATTTGTGCCTTTTTTATATATTTCCTTTGGTTTGACTGCAAGTAGTTTTGGAATATATATTTTTACTCTACACTGCTGCAATGAAGCATATACTTGAATGCAGTCTTATTAGATATTATTTAGATAAATATATGTATGTATTATATTTATGTTATCTATATTATTATCTTTATAATATATGTCTATAGTACTATACCACTATAAATAAATATTATTTAGTGTCTTCGTGTGTGTGTGTGTGTGTGTGTGTAATATATAAATAAATATATGATTGTTTGTTTATTTATTACTGTACACAAACACAAAGAATAATGTTATCATGACGATGAGAAAGAGTTGAGAAGCAAATGCAAAAAAAAAAAGAATACAAAAAGTAGGTATGAACTTTGAACTATATGAAACACAAACAAAGCCAGACACTGCCTCCATGGCTTTCTCAATGTCTTCAGCTGTGATGCTGGGGATATGCCAGTTTCTGTCTGGTGAACTGGCTGACAGAGTCCTTGCTGCCGTGTGGTTTGAGTTTGAGCTCCGTCAAGTTAATTCTT